CATCAAGACATACAGTGTAATACCATTACAATACCTGCACCCGGATATTCAGTCTGGGTGCTCAGTGATGGTACATGGACCAATTGACTCCAAGTTCAAAGTCTAACTCACCAGATAACTTTGGGAATATTAACTTCATGGAGGATTAATCCACTAACTCCCCTATTATGGAGTAAAGTTACAAGAAATTCTGAAGATCCATGACAAGAATCATCTACTTCTGTCAAGGTGGGGTGGGCATTAGAATCTTTATTTAGTCCCCAGGCCATGTGTTTTCAGAACCGATGGCTCATACAGAACCTGACAGCACAAGTAGAGGTCTTGGCTAATGCTACTAATGAAGGATTACTGACAATAAACAAACAGGTACAGGCCAACAGTGAAATAACGATGCAAAATAGGTTGGCATTAGATTTATTATTAGCGAATAGGCCGACTTGGTAGGGGATCGATAAAGCAGAATTGGAATATTCAACTGTTCTTATCCCGGTGTTATATCAAGCATACCTCATATGGCTTTGACTGTTGGATGTTGTTGTAGAAATTACTCAATCAGTTCATCAATGAGGACACATCAAGACATACAGTGTAATACCATTACAATACCTGCACCCGGATATTCAGTCTGGGTGCTCAGTGATGGTACATGGACCAATTGACTCCAAGTTCAAAGTCTAACTCACCAGATAACTTTGGGAATATTAACTTCATGGAGGATTAATCCACTAACTCCCCTATTATGGAGTAAAGTTACAAGAAATTCTGAAGATCCATGACAAGAATCATCTACTTCTGTCAAGGTGGGGTGGGCATTAGAATCTTTATTTAGTCCCCAGGCCATGTGTTTTCAGAACCGATGGCTCATACAGAACCTGACAGCACAAGTAGAGGTCTTGGCTAATGCTACTAATGAAGGATTACTGACAATAAACAAACAGGTACAGGCCAACAGTGAAATAACGATGCAAAATAGGTTGGCATTAGATTTATTATTAGGCTGTGAACATGGATTGTGTGGTTATTTACATCTTAATGAAGAACATTGTTGTATACATATCCCCAACGTAACCCAAGAATTAAATGTGCAATTGAATAGGATGAAAGAAATAGTTCAGAGTACTAGAATCCTTAGGGAGACAGGGGGACCAGCTGGTTGAATCAGATTCTTCAAAGAATTAGTGAATGGACTTTAACTGGATGGTTAACAAGTTTGATACAGAGTATAATAATAATAATAATCGTGATTATCATAGCAGTTTGTATTCTTTTTGGATGCATAAAGCAGGCTCTAATGAAAACCTTGTTCAATAGTAAAATAATGATGATGCAAAATTATGGAAGTCTTGAAGATGACTATTAGTACAACTTCAAGATTTCCAAAGGGGGGAATTGATACCAGCAGGGTTTAAACATAACCTTATGTAAATATGCTCTAGTTGTTGTAGCTTTAGCTATCGTGCAGAGCATTCACAAGGTCAAGGATGGAATTTTGTAACAGGAACTTATCTTAGAATAACAACCACAAGGACTTGAGCAATTAAGGATGTATAGAATGCTTACAAAGGTTTTGGAAAAATAACATCCATAGTGGCATCCTGAAGTTAGCTACGCCTCGGAATGAGTAGGGGGCACCTACCCAAAACCGACGACCACTCAGGACCCCCGTGCATGCTTAGTATAGTTTTGCAAGGTTAGCAATATGTAAATGTAGTAGATAAGAAGGGTCAATGTGACGTATATGCCATACTAATGAATTATGCAAACTTGAGTGTATAAATATGCTAAGTTTTCTGTTTAACCTTATACTTGATTTGGTGTAAGTGTGTCTGATTCTGCGCGCTATTGAATAAAGCAATGTCTCCTTCCTAAACATAGTCTTTTATCTGTGTTTCGGGAGTTAGAGTAAAACGATAACACAAGGACCATGTTTCTCAAATGATTCCTTCAAGAAAAATTTCATCGAAGCCTATAAAGGTTATCCTGTGGCAGCGTTGTCCTAGTGCCTCTGTCTGGAGGCTCTTGTTCCTTCACTTGAATGCTCAAGAATTGGTTCTGCGTAAGATCTGATAATTCTTGCTGTGCCGTCCCCTTCCGTGCTCTCTGCTTTGCCTCCTGCTTTTTAATACGTCTGATCTTGACAGAGTGGAAAAGTTAAACCTAAAAATAAGTTCCTGAGCTCATTCCCGTTTGTGGTATATATGTGTGTACGAACATGTTTGTGTGACAGTATATCATCTGATATAGTGCATTTCTTTTTAAACATCTGTGGGGATGGGTTGGGAAGGCTCATATTAACACTGAAGTCTGAAGAACTGGCTTTTTACTCATGGGGGAGAGTAAAGAAAAAATTTCACTTAGGAATTGCCCCCAGCCTGTGGGGCATTCAAAAATCAGTATTAAATTCGCATTCAGGATGTGTTTGTAGATCTCTGTCAGTGTGCTGCTGGTGAAGAGAATAGCTTTGACTTTGAATGGGGTAAATTAGGCAAGTTCTGCTGTCACCTTTTAAAAATAAAATTTAATCGAGTTTTGATTTGTTCCTTTAATGAATCATTGGTGCATTGTATGTGTCTGTGTATATTGCTGTATGGTTTGTTATTATGAGGCCAAGTCCTGACAACTTATTGCAAAATTGTTTTAATTTATTATTAATATTTTTTGTTTTTCTCATTTCTCCTGGTTTTGGAGCCTTTATAATTAGATATAATTAAAACCACAGGTTTTAAACTCCAGTCTAACATTTAAACTCATATTTATGGTGCAACCCCTGGAGTTTTATTGTCATTCCAACTGCACTTTGGAAAAAAAAAAAAAAAATTTTTTTTTTTTTTTGCATCTGTTCAAATGCTATGTCTACAGCTACCACTTAATCAGCTGTTTTGCACAGTAAAACGACATTTATTTTACACGGTAAGAAACCTTGCCGTTTTATAGAGTAGCTATTCTGTATCCCTTAACAAAAGGGTGCAAGGGACCTTTTGCCTTGTATACTTTAAAAACAGCTTTCCTCTTTTTGAACTTGTTTGTCTTTCTCTGTTCCTCCACGCAACAGTCTGAAAGTGCTACATGCTGTAGAACGAATTTTAAAAAAATGTTGGCTGGCATTATGTAAAACCATATTTTCCCTTTTGGTGCGTATGTTCTGGTCCTAGCAATGTCCTTGTTTTGCTGAAATTAACATTTTTCCCCTCATAGTCATTGGTATGTGATGGTGTTTTTCTGTCTTCTTTAATTGTGATGCTTATTTTTTTTTAATTAGTATAGGGTTGATTCTTAAAATTAAGTGGCAGAAGGCTTCTTTCCAAGTTATTCAGAGATCTTTTGCTGAAGAAATATATTTTGCTACTCTCAATTGCCTTTTTCCCCCTTCTTCTTTCATTGCAAACTACTCTGGGAAGAGCTTCTTTTAACAAAAAAAAAAAAAAAGAAAAAGAAAAAGGCTACGCTTGACTGATAATGCATTGCTTTGGATGGTGAAACATTATGAAAGTTTAATTTTTAATTAAATCTGAAATACCAATTATAACTGAAAGAGATTTTAACCTGTTTCTTTTCAGACTGCCTGAAGTTACATTGTAGATGCTGAAATCACTGCACCTTAAAAACAAAAAGATTAAGCTGCACTGCATTCCTGTAAGTAAAAGCTTTTCTGGTACCTTTTGTCCGTATTTTTCCTCTATAGGCATCCAAAGTGTTAGCACAGTAGCTGGTCTTGGATAAAGGTCAGAGTCCCCTTGAATGGGATTTAGAAGTTCAAAGGATGTTTTATTTAAAAATTAAAACGGAACTTACATCTTGCCGATCTTTAATTTCAGACCCCTGAATAGATCATTCTTTTCTGCTTTGTTTTGAGTATCCTTAGGAATAGTGTGCATCTCTGTTGACTTACAGTTCCTGTTGCTTTGTCAGTGAGGATTTCTGCACTTTGGTGCAGAGATAACAAAGTAGCAGAAGATTCCTTATAGCGTAAAATATAGTTTATTCTCTTTTTGTGATGTTATAACAATTTTTTCTCCTTTATACAAGAAAAAAACAAACAACTTTCTGATGACATCACGGGGCTTCAGCTGCTTTAGGGTGTAGACGAAGACAGAAATGCCTCATTAATCTGTGCTGTGACACAACACAACAGTCAAAATATAACGTCTTATGTCTCTCAGCAAGAAAGGAGTCTCTTTCTAAGAGCATAGTTATTCCATAAATGCAAGTCAGATTGTACATCAGTCTGATCTAGCCTTATTTAGAATCTGTTTATTGAATGTATTTGGGACAATAATTAAGATTTGGAACTTCAGTGGCTGAACAACAGGCACGCAAAAGAGGATTGGAAAATACAATAGACTCAGATACTCTGAATTTAATGAAATAATATATGAATAAAAATCCAGGAGCTTGTAGACAGTAGGAAAAAATTGATTTTATTTGGACAGTACAAAGCTGTGGAATATTACAAAGCAAAGTTGGTTTGTTTTCTTGTTTAAGATCAAACTGTGCAGTCTGTAATGAAATCCAGAGCCTTCTTCCAAAGTGGTACTTCTGTACTTCAGTGTTAAAATACTTTAACTATTACATATGATTTTTTCTTTTTTCCTCCCTCTCCCCCCCCTTTTTTTTTTTAAATTGTATTTTAATGATTTATTTTAAACTAGCTGAAGGGTACAGTGCACTGTGGGCAGCTAATGCATGCCCCTTCCAGCGTGGAGCGCTGAGCATGACTCAGGCAGGCAGATTGTGCCATGCTGGCTCTACTCCATTGTGTTTTTACATTACTGGCAAGGGCCATGCCATTGTGTTGTTTAAATATTGTGTATTAACTGCAGGCTGTGGCCAGTGAATGGTATTTAACATTTTCTGCTCATCATTCCTGAATATGAGCAGCTTCCCTGGCCACCAGAGGTTAACCTTGCAATTACACTGGTGAGCCGAGTTGAAAACACTCATGGATTTGCTGGTTCCAGCAGCAATTTCAAGGGAGGCATTGGGGGAAAAGTGGGGGAACACTTCTGATTCTGTGAGTGCAGAATTTTGAAGTTGTCTTGCAATTTTGTGTGAACAACCGGGAGAATTTTTGTTGGAAAGTGGAAGTAATTCTCTTTCCAAAATGCAGCAACAGAGCGGGGAGTGAATTAAAGCAAGTTCTTTGAATCCTTAGGATCCAGATGGTCAGTAAGTCCTGCATGGACAGCCCTAAGGCAAAATACCAGGTAGCAATATATGGGCCTGATGAGTGGTGCTGGCTGGAACGGGCGTTTTTTAGCTTTTTATGAGACTCCAGGCTTTGGAGGGGAAATAGATACACAAGTGTAAAACTCGTGTATAGGAAATGTTTTGTTTTGTTTTATCAAGGGTGGCAAGCACATCAAGGCAGAGATGTTGAGCAGTTTGCTCAAGGTCAGAGTAAATCAGTGGTCAAACCGGGAATGGCACGTGGGGTCACGACTCCCAAGTCTGTTCTGTTCTGCCCAGTTCTTCTTTCCATTCCATGAAGTAAAGGTCCAAGTTTCTAATCTTTGAGTTTCTTGTGCCATTTGCTTTTTCCAAAAAAAAAATACCCCACCTGTAAACTTCTAGCTGCTCCTAAGTTCTGTAGCCTTGCCATACAGCCTGTTTCTGGAATACAGAAGCACGAGGTGGGGGAACTTTTACCTATGCACGTATATGCTGTAAGATGAGGATGTGATTCTTGCTATACCTTGTGCCCATGTAACTAGTAACTTGTCACAATAAAAATGGGGCACCGTCTTTATAGAGGAAAGTATGCTTTAAGGATTTCCTTTGTTTCCTTATGTATGTTTGCTGTAATCAGGTGTCTCTAATTGTTAAGATCTTTAATAAAGTGAACTTCCCAGTTTGGCTTTCCTGTATTAACCTGAAAACACAAAGAAGAAAAGGCAAGCCATGCTCTGGTAGTTTTCTGGTTTTTTTTGTTTTTTTTTTTTAATTGGGTTTCTTTAATTGAAGGGTGGAAAACTTGCTTTAGGGTAGGGATGTCCCTAAAGCAACTGATTAATATAAGGTGGGCCAGATTTTCGGCCGATACGAAAATATGCTTCGCTTGATAAATGGCATTAGAAGAAAATACAGATTCACAACACGTGAACATCTGGCAGGCAGTTGCATAAAAACACAGCCTTCTAAATGTAGTGCAGGCATGCTCTTAATGGAAAAGGTCTGTGGGCTGGATTCTTGCTATGTTGGGTGCACTGGCCATGTTTTGCTATGTACTAAAGTTATGTGGATTAATAGGCAAGTAGATCCGTTGAGGTCCATGGGACTACTCAAATACTTAACTTTAAGGATGTGGTTAAGTACTTTGCTGTTTGCAACTAACCCCAAATAGGATTAAGTCTAGTATGAGGAGCTACCTCTGCTCGCATTCAGCATCTGCTTGATTTTAGAAGGAGACAGTGACAGCGTACTGTATGTGAAAGAAAAAGATTCTGTTCACACAACCTGAAAACCTACACAAGAGACGCCCTGGATGTGCTTTCAAAGCAATGGTTTTAGTTATATTGCCATCGGCTAAGGCTAATAAGGAGTATACGACACATTATTTTTGTTAAAAAGAGAGATTTTTCAAGGTTTCAGCCTTATGCAGCCTTGTGATCTGATTACTGACCAAGAGATCCGGTGCTCTAATCTTGACGGATGCTGGCTCAGTGAGTGGCATTGGACAAGTCATTTAACCTCACTGTGCCTTGTTCAGCAGATCACTTTTTAAATCTAGTTCAAACTGATACAGCTCTGTGAACATTATTGAGTTTGTGTTTGCAAAGCTCTTAGAGGAGAAATAGTAACCATTGTTAGTATTAATAAGTATATTGTGTAGACAAATCACGAGGGATGGAGATACAGCCACACATGGGGGTGATCTTTCACAACTCACTTGTGCCTTTGTTTAATTCCATCATTCAAAGGTATCAAGGCCAACTCCGTTTTACAGAAGTATTTCTCATGTCACTCTCCCCACTGTTGAGTATTTTATTGTTCGTGTTCTCTCTCCATCTGTTTCTCTGCTACTTTCCTACATGCTGAATTAACCTTGCATACCAAACTTTATTCCCCTTTTTTGTATTATACAGCAGACACATTTGTGTAGCCTCCAAATTACAGAAAGCAAATTCATTTTGTCTAGTGATTGTTTGCTGGTGATGTATGAAACAGACAGAAGACAGTCTGAATTTTCATAAGTTCAATTGAGCTTGCAGGCATAAGGAAGGGAACAGGCAGAACCCAAGCCAATGTGACACAGTAAGCTGGCATCCCAGAGTGCATGCTGCATGTGTAGCGTCAGGATGTCAGGGCTGAGAAGGGCTTCGTCCATCACAGTAGTGCTTTTAAATGAAGGAAGAGTTTTGAAGCAACAAACAGGCTACCCTACTGTGTTCTTTACAGCGCAAGAAGCCTCGCGGTTCCTGATGGATATGGGATCTGTCCTCCCCTCTTGTAACTTGCTGTTTTAACTAGAATTTCATGTCTAAGATGGGCTTTGTTGAGCCCTGCAAATTCCCAGTTCCTATTCCTCTGACAAAATGTAAATCCTCAATAGTTTGTTAAGCTGTTTTTGGGGTTTTTTTTTGATGCAGAAGATACTGGCTTGTAGAAGCTACACTGGAGAAGACATGTACAAATGTGAAATGAGTATGGAAGTGTGCTTCCTTTGTTCAAAGATCAATGTCTTGGGGCTGACTGTCACTGAGGAATTGTGTTAGCACTAACAAAGAGAATTAATTTTGCCTTTTCCCCTTCCTATACCAAGGCATTAATCCAGAAGCTCACAGGGATAAATTCTGCCCTGATTTCTACCTGTGGAACCCCAGTGGAAATGTGGAGAGGTCAAAAAAGTTTGTCAAGGCAGAAATTGTCCTAGTGTTAAAATTGTTGAGAAAGCAGAAACTGGTTGATTGTTATCTGGCCCAGGGGCAAGAGAATACGTAGGAGCCCTGCGTGGCATTATATGCTTCTGAAAGTGTTGCTTTTGTTGTATGTTAAGGAGAATATGAAAAAAATATTCTAGTGACTGAAAAGTTATAATCAGGAGCACAGTGATTAATTGTTCTTCATATCCACTGGGAGAAAGACCTAAAGAAATCAGTTCAATGAGCAGTGAAAATTACCAAGTTATATATTAAGAACCATGTTCTGACTGTATCGGTTGTAAAGCACTGGCATGCACAACCTGTAGGTACTGTGGAAGCAGGGGAGGTTTCTTTTTTAAGGAATGGCTTGGAAAACCATCTCTCAGGGCATGCTAGGACTCGCTGTAAGGCCAAAGACCAGGCTGGATGGGTTCTGTTGCTCCCCGGCATTTCTCTGATTCAGCGTACCGTTTGGGAATGTTGGTATGTGGCTAATACATTCCTGATTAATAAAGCTTAATGTTCCCGAAAGATCCCCAGGGTTCTCATTTTTCCATCCTCTCATAACTGAAACCATACTGTCTCTTCAAAGATTTCACTGGGCTGCCAGCATTTTGCTTTGACCCTTCTTTTTTTAGAGAAGGACAGGGGGGGAGTCGTATAGACACTGAGGGCAGATTTTCAGTCGCTGTGAGTCTGCGTGGTTTCTTTCCAGTCGGTGCACTAATGCTGATTTGTTTCAGTTGCTGGTTTTTAAAATTTGGATGAATGGAG